GTATGATTTGCAAATATTTTCTTCCATTCTTTAGGTTTCTTTTCACTCTTTTTTTAAAAAAAATTTTTTTAATGTTTATTTATTTTTGAGACAGAGACAGAGCATGAATGGGGGAGGGTCAGAGAGAGAGGGAGACACAGAATCCGAAGCAGGCTCCAGGCTCTGAGCTGTCAGCACAGAGCCCGACACGGGGCTCGAACTCAAGGACCATGAGATCATGACCTGAGCCGAAGTTGGACACTTAACCGACTGAGCCACCCAGGCGCCCCGGTTTCTTTTTATTCTTGATGGTATCCTTAAGTGGATACAGTTTTTAATTTTGATGAAGTATAATTTATCTTAAATTTTTTTCTTTTGTTGCTTGTGTTTTTGGTGTCATATCTAAGAAATCATTGCCAAATCCAAAGTCATGAAGCTTTCCCCTATGCTTTCTTCTAAGTTTTATAGTTTTAGTTCTTACATTTACCTTTGATTCACATATGGTGTAAAGTAAGGATCTAACTTCATTTTCTTTTCTTTCTGTTTTGTTTTTTTGGTTTTTTGGTTTTTTTGCACACGGTATATCCAATTTTCCCAGCACCACTTTTCAAAAAGTATCAACCCCATTCAGTGGTTTTGACACCCTTGTCGTAAATCACTTGACCATATATGCAAGGTTTTCTTTCTGGGCTATTTCATTGATCTATATGTCTGTCTTTTGAATGCATTTTAAAGTTACCTGTTACAGTTCCATATTTGTGTGATTGTGCTATCAGTTGAATACTGTATTTCATTTTGCTCGTGATATGTAGAGGTAACTTTTTATTATTATTTTGTTCCATGATTACATGAAATACAAGGTTCTAGGGGCATCTATCTGGCTCAGTCAGTAGAGCATGGCTCTTGATCTCAGGGTTGTGAGTTCATGCTCCATGTTGGGTGTAGAGCTTACTTTAAAAAAAAAAAAAAAAGTGGGAGGTGCCTGGGTGGCTCAGTTGGTTGAGCGTCCTTCTCTTGATTTCTCCTCAGGTCATGATCCCAGGGTCATGGGATTGAGTCCCACTTCGGACTCCACACTAAGTATGGAGCCTGCTTAAGATTCTCTCTCTCTCCCTCTGTCCCACTTCCCACTCACGTGCATGCTATCTCTCTAAAAAAATTTTGAAAGAAGGAAAGAAATACAGGGTTCCAAATCAAAGCCTCAAAGCTACTAAACAAGGTATTATTCAAAGAAGTTTAATATCTATACCTTTCTGTTTCACCCTTGGCCTCCCTTCTGTAACAGGCAACCACTTAAAAAATTTTTTTTATATTCTTCCTTTTTTATTTTTAAATAAAAGAACACAGATTCACCTTCCATCTTTTAAGTTAATGGTAGCTCACCATACATTCCTAACTATTCCTTAGTTTTTATGTCACACGTGTGTTTGGTAGACTACCTGTTTTGTTTTGTTTTGTTTTTGAAAGTTCTTTTCCTTCTGTTTCAGGTCACTTTTCTTTTTTTCATGTTTTAATGATTTTTTGAGAGAGTGAGTACAAGTGGGGGAGGGGCAGAGAGAGGGCGAGAGAGGAGGACAGAGCATCCTCAGCAGGCCCAGAGCCCAACTTGGGGCTCGAACTCACAAAATGTGAGATCGTGACCTGAACTGAAGTCAGATACTCAACCAACTGAGCCACCCGGGTGCCCTGTTTTGCTTTTTTCAAGTTTTATTTCAGTAATCTCTGCACCCAACATGGGGCTCAAACTAATGACCCTGAGAACAAGAGTCTCACGCTCCTCTGACTGAGCCAGCCAGGCACCCCTAGACTACCTATTTTTATAAATAGAATTTTATTGGAAAGCAGCAGTGCCCATTTGTTTCATAATTGTTTGTAGCTGCTTTTTTTTTTTTTTTTTTTTTT